TAATGCCACCCGCCGATGACAACCTCCGAATGTGCTTCGTTTGCCTGCATGCAGATGTCAGTGCGTAGTTCCACAGCACATTGAACGGGTCCATTCCAGGGTTGACATAAATTGTCTGTCCGGTACGAACGACTCCATCTGTCTACGGAAACGAGTCGGATGACGCAGCAACACCACCCACGAAGGCCAGCCGAGGCGGGCACGTCATCGTCCGGAGGCCCTAGCGCGGCCGGGTGTCCAGCACGGCTGGGAGCTTCACGTGGGAGCGGAGAGCGCTAGGCACTAGACCACCACGCCCGCGAACCGCTCAGTGTCTTACGCTGAAAATGGCAATCGGGTGTGAGGCTGCTCACCTTGGATGCCGTGGCGCTTGAGCCAGCTGGAAAACAACTACGCGACTGAAAAAGTTGGTCTTCTTTTATGGGTCACCCGACTATTTACATACTAGTGGCGGGTTACACACGCCACATCATAGGCGTAATAAGCCAAGCCACCTCAGGTCAGCTGGTGCTGCTACTTGTTTATGGCGCTAGTGGAAATGCACGATCTATAAACGTATTTCACACCAGTCGGAAAGCCGCGGTACAGAATGAATGCGCCCTTAGTCGCGGCACGCCGGCCGCACTTTACGACATCATAGCCTACCACAACAACAAAATGAGCGCGTTGTCAGCTCCTGGCATCATTCCACCCCACGTAAGTGCACTCGTAATTTGGCACCTGTTTTCGTGATAAGCTCACTGACCTTGCTTGGCGTCCAGGCTAGCGTTGATCGCCGGCCCAAATAGCTACATGGGAAAGCAATCCAACAAAACACTACTTGTACATGGCATCATTGTAAAAAGTCAAAACGGCGAACCGCTGCGACGCCACCAGCATCCTAAGATTAGTTTTCTCAAATAAGGTTGCTTGCGTAGCGCAGCGATCCAACGAACGAGCGCATGCATGACTTGAGATAAGCCAATCTTCACCCGTGAATAACAAGTGACTGCAAATTAATGAAAATATTGCTGACCTAGTCGGTGATGTCATCGTGTCCTTACGGTCATCGATAGGCCATTTTGGGAGAACGCAATACAAACAGGGTTACGTGCCGTATTCTGAATCAGCCCAGTCGGTTCACTGGTTCCGAAGCTGATCTGGTCGGCCAAAAAGTCATCCGCCCAATAACTTCAAGATGCTTCAACGCTCCGACATGCCGGGATAAGTGCCGGGTTCCAAACGCCGCCCCTCTGCCGCAGTCCCGGCCTTCTGTGCGAGAGCGGCGATCCCGGCGCGGCGGACGGCACGCGAGCGAGCAGCGGTCGGCCGGCAGGTGGACGTTTGCCTGCGACAGGCAGCCTCGAGGTGCCCCACACCTGACCGAGGTGGGGCAACGGCGACAGCTGGCGGCGCCGGTGGCCATTGACGGGCATGACCGGCAGGTGACCGGCCACCGGCGGCCGTCGCCGCTGCTCCCGCTGGCCGCCGCCCGCGTCAACTGCGTCCAACCGCCCGCCGGCCAACGGGCAGTCGCCACCTGCACCAAGCTGGCCAGCTAACGGTCAAATCGTCTTAAAAACAGCACTATTTCTAGCCGTCAACTCGCGGTTTAGCAGGCTTCGAAGACGGGCATTTTCATACAAAGTGGACGGAGCATTTAATAAGCGCTGTGCAAGTTTCATGAGTTCATACAGCCTTACGCGCACAGTGTATGCCCGTGTTATCAAAATTAGCACGACACGGTCCTGTCATGGGCATCGGGCCACACCAACCATCAACATTAGTCGAAACTTGCAGACAGACAGACTGGTGCCACCAGACCGCCGATCCAACAACTGCACAAGTCTGCATGAAATTTAACCTGAAAATCCCCGAGTCTTGGCCGAGCGGGCCCTACCATTCGTTGTCCGCGGGTCGGCGCAGTCAGCTGCTAGAGAGACCGTTCCAAATCTCCAGGACATATTTTTGGATGCTGCGCGACACTGGAGAAATTCACTGATAAAAATGGCGCCGATGCAACTTAAATCGATGGTACCTGCCACGCTCAGCTCAACTCGACGCCACAAAAGTCTACTGCGTGACGAGCTTGGTGATCCTTTCCCGCGTGAATGGTGGCCGCACCCCCGTTGTGGGATTCCGACCACAATTCCGTCCCTTCGTTTTCTTCGAATGTCCAATCAACAGAGATGAGGATTTCCACTTCCTCCGTGTCATGTCAAAGAGACACGTGTTCATTCTGGAGAGTTCGCATGGCCCACACGTGGCAAATCGTCATACCGCAAAACCTTGCCACTGTGCGCACGGCATTGTCCTATCTTGAGGTCTTGAAGGCGGGACGTCACAGCCGTGGGAGCAGGGGGGGGGGGGGGGGAGCCGTACCTCTACCACTTTGCATAAGGGTTCAGCATGACCTCTAGGTTCAAGGATGAAAAAGATCGACTTCACACGCGATCCCGTCTTCCACTTTTTGGGACGTTTCTTTGCCTTCGTGCGGTTACATCATAAAGGTCACTAAAGGTCGTGCCCCCTGCGAAGCCTATTTCAATCTAGCTGGGTAAGGGTCAAGCCTCGCGGAGGACGTCAGATGGATCCACCAGACCACCACATGATGAGTCCGGCCGATTACAAAGGTGACGTCAAAGCTGTCCAATGCCACCTTCCTAAAACGTCACGCCGTGAATCGACAAAAGCAGTGCTAGAAGACATTTGAACTTGAACCGATACCATCGTCGCACACGACGAGGTTAAGTTCAACGCCATCCTAAATCACGATCATCTCACGTCGCGGTCACGGCACATCACGCTGTGAACTCAGAGGTTCTGAAGCCTTTGGTTGAAGCATAGGCGCTGGACCTGAGCCAGCATTATCAATCCAACATACTGACATACGGACAATAATTGAAAAAACTGCGGGACTCCAAAGAGTGCCACTCCAAAGAACTTATGAGGCTGATGCTGACAAGTGACATCATTCTTGGTAAATTTGAATAACGTAGACCCTTCCCTGTTATTTTACAATATAATTCCTTTTAAAATGGATAAGAAAATCGGTCTTATTGCGTTAAAACAACAGCAAACAAGTCACTCTTTGTCCATCCTATTGCATTGCTGTCAGCTGTGAAGCCGATGCAGCTCACTATACGGCACCGTACGGCAGCGGCCCGGACGCCGCCGGACGGTCCAGTCAGATCGGACCGGGCGTCCCGCCCCAGTCCGGCACTGCCATGTACCGGGCCTGAGCCGGCGAATGACCACTACCGGCCGCCTCCCCCCTTACCCCCTTCTCCTCCTGGCAGACGACGGCTGAGGACACGGCCGGCTTCCGCCCACACAGGGCAAAAACCCGCTGCACTGAGCTCCAAAACAAACAGGCTCCCACGCTGATTCGGGCATTCAATAGAGCGGACAAAAAGTACTAAAAAGACTACAGGCGGACAATCCCCATTGCTGCAGTCATCCAATTTCCTGCCTGGCGGCAGCTGGAGGCAGAGCAACTCTGGGGTCATCAACCCCTACGTCCGGACCTCCCACCCAACCCCCACACGCCCCCTTCGCCGATGGCCAAGGCTGAACCGAGCGGCACCGTGTCGTGTTTCAAGCACGTGCCGAATCCGTGGAACCGCACGTTCACCCCGCACGCACACACACACACACACACACACACACACACACACACACACACACACACACACACACACACACACACACACACACACACACAACACACAACACACAACACACAACACACACACACACACACACACACACACACACACACACACACACACACACACACACACACACAAACAAACAAACGCGGCGGGCGGAGCCCGACTCAGCTCCGACCAAGCCGGCACCACGTGCGCACCGTCCGCAGCCTCTCATCTCGCCCGCGCTCCACTCTTTGGTGGAACGTGGCCATTCGAGTTTCTCCGAGCAGCATTCCGACTGACGCCGATGACCAACAGGCCGTCAGCGGTGACGGCCGGGCTCTTGGCCACTACGCTCACTGGTCAGCCCCTACCGCCGCTCGCAGGACGCCATGGCAATCCGCAAAGCCAACACATAACGCCGTTACAGGAAGTGTTCGGCTGGCCGTCGCAACAAAGCGCAGAGAACATCCCGTTTGCTGCACTGAGTCACGCATCCCGCCTGCCCGTCCGGACAAGCGACCATGAAGCATCGGCCATAAAACGCCGCTGACAGCCAGCACAACGCAGCACGCCGTTGTCAGGCGGGTGTGCACGCGCTTTTGCTGCATGATTTCATCCTCGGCGACCGACCACGACGGAGCTATGGTCAGATTCTAAACGTGCTAAGTAGGTAATCAGCTGTGTTCAGGCGGATGAGAACATGAACGCAGACTGCTACCTTCGCGTTGGTGACCCTGTCTCTCACAGCCTCTGCGTACAAGCACCAAGGCGTTGGGCACATGACGCTGGACTTAGCAGAATACACATATTCCAGCCGTTCAGCATCTCCGATCCACAAAAACCACCTTAACAACTGCGTCATGCCGGTACCTCAGCCTCGACTTTACAACACGGTCAGCTGTTTTTGTTACGATAGACTCCGCGATGGAACGCAGTTTTCGGGCAGCGCATGGTGTCGGCGCACCAACACGCCTCTGTTGAGCACGTCCTGGACGCCGCGAAAGCATTTGAACCTCTCCATCTCAGTTATTGCCTTGTGCGACTCGCCGCGGCAGTGTCCGGAAGCAATGTGGTGGTGGTGGTGGTAGTGGTAGTGGTAGTGGTAGTGGTAGTGGTGGTGGTGGTGGTGGTGGTGGTGGTGGTGCGTGCGTGCGTGCGTGCGTGCGTGCGTGCGTGCGTGCGTGCGTGCGTGCGTGCGTGCGTGCGTGCGTGCGTAATCCGTGTCGTCAAACCCCCAAGCACTAAAAACGGCAAACCCCAACAAAACAAACTCCACGTCAGATCGGCCCGCCGCGCGCGCGTCGCGCCCGGGGTGGTGCAGCGCGTCACACTAGGTCATGCGAGGACGTCGGGGCCGTGACCTACCTGCGCCTTGTCCTTGACCTCGTTCTGAGCGCGCCAGGCCGCGATGGCCGGCTGCTTGAGCTTGTCCTGCATCTCGGTGCCGGCGCGCTGGCGCAACTCGGTCGGGCACTTCTCGAAGATCGAGACCCGCTCGGCCACCGAGCCCTGCGTCAGAAACGGCCGGATGGCCACGCCGGCCGCGTTGTACGGCGTCGGCGAGAGCGTGCGGTCGCGGATGTGCTGCTTCTGCTCCTCCGTGAGCTGCGGGTGCGGCAGCGGCGAAACGGTGCGCGGCTGGTCGCCGGCCGCCGCCTTGAGCAGCGCGCGCTTGCGGCGCCACGGCTCGGCCGGCAGCAGCACGCCCGAGTCCGGGTCGACGGCGTAGCGGGCCGGCAGCCACTCGGAGCGCCACTGCGAGTCGGTGATGTTGATCTGGCCGTTGTCGTAGCGCGAGCGCGCCTCCGTCACCTGCGCGCCGGTGGCGCCACCGCGCACCGCCAGCGAGCGCGAGTCCTCCAGGCGCTGGGCGGCGCGCGAGCGCGTCTGCGGGTCCTGGAAGCGCTGCTTGGCGTAGTCGACGGTGGACATAGCGACGCCGTCGCCGGCGGCGGGCCGCGCGCCCGGGCTGCCGGCGCGCGGCGCCGCGATCACGGCGCCGCTCTGCAGCGCCGAGCGCAGCCGCGCCTCCTCCTGGCGCACCTGGGCCAGCGCCGCGTCGGCGGCGCGCTCGGCGGCGGCCACCGACGGCTCCGGCGGCGGCACCGGCGTATGGATCTGCGGCCGGCCGCGTGCCTTCAGCGGCCAGGTGGCCGTACCGTCATCCGGCTCGTCGGCCGACACCTCCAGCACGCGCGTCTGCCCGTTGGCGCTGACCTGCAGGCGCGAATTGACGCCCGAGGCGAGCCGGCCGGGCGCCGTCTTGGCGCCGCGGTACGGCCGCTGCTGCGCGTCCGCTGCCGCCGCCGCCGCCGCCGTTGCCCGGCCGGCCGGCAGCGTCTGGTAGCCGGCCGGCGGCGAGTTCGGCGAGCCGGGGCCGCCGCGGCGCGCCTTGTCTTCCTGCACGAAGTTCTTGACCAGCTCCTCGAGCGACTTGTCGCCATCGGGCGAGGCAAGCAGATCGACGGGCGAGATGGGCGGCGGCTGGCGCCGATCGGCGGGCGCCGGCTGCCACCGGTCCGGCGGCGGCTCGCGCCGCTCCGGCGTCGCCTTCCAGCGGTCGGACGGCGGCTCGCGTCGCTCGTGGCCCGGCTGGCGCCGTTCGGCCGGCGGCGGGCCGGTGCCGTTGACTGGCTGCGGCGCCGCGCCGCGCTCCAACCGGATGGGGATCGTGTGCTCCAGCGGCTGCGGACTGGGGGGAGACACGGGCTGAGCGGGCGCGCGCGCGCTCGCGCTCGGGGCCGGGGTGGGACTATGGCGGGACGGGGTGGCCGACCGGGAGCCGCCGCCGTCGCGCAGCTGACGCGACAGCGCCTGCGCCGCCTCCGTGTTGAGCGACGTGGTGTTGTGCGACTTGAGCACTTCGCCCGGTGCCAGGCCGCGTGCCTTCCACGTCTGGTAGAGCGTCTCGGCATGGTCAGCGATCTGCTTGGCGATGTCCTCCAGCTCGCCGCCGCCGGAGGTCGCCGCCAGGTCGCGGCTGTGTGCCGCCTGCGCCTTCTGCGCGTGCGTGCGGTTGATGAGCGTGCGGATGTTCTCGGTGGTGGAGGTGAGCTGGTCGGCCAGCCGGCTGACCTCGGCCGGCGACACGCCCGCGTCGCCGCCGCTCAGCTCCCGGAACAGCTCGCTCGGGTCGATCACGTTGTTCACGGACATGGCGGCGGCGCGGCGACACTGTTGCACGACACACTGCCGGCGGCGGCGGCGCGCCGTCCGCGAGCGGTCTGCCGACGGCGGCGCCGGCGGCGCGGGCGGCGCGGACGCACCTGGTGCGGCGGGGCCCGCGCGCCGCCCGGACTCTTGGCACCGGCACGGCCCGCACGGCCGATCTAAAATAGCACGGACACACGGTGAGGTGGCGCCGGCGGCGGCGGCGGCGGCGGCGCTGTCGGCGGCGGCGGCGACGACGACGGCCGTCCCGGTTCGGGCGAGGGTGCGGCGGTGGAGCAGTGGCGCCGGCGGAACCAGCTCGGAGGACGCAGGATGGCGGAGAGGAGTCGGCCCCGCTCGTGACACCAAACCTTCAGTGTGCACAGGCTACAGCCCGCATCCGTTCAGATACGACGCAGCTTGGCGAAGCCATGCACGATGATGATATCGATCCAGGAATATACTGCGTTCGCGAAAGTTCAACTGTCAGTCTCGCAGACTAAATAAAAGCGACCTAGTTCGCAAGAGCATAGCCCATTCCAGGCGTCAGTATTAAGTCTTCGGAAAACATGGAATGATTTACAAAATAAGCTTTTGCATCACGTACCCAGCTGTTGGAACTTTGAAACGACAAGGCCCATTCATCATGCTTGCAAATTAGTTCTGCCAGAGTTACTAAACAAAAATAAAATATCGTAGAATTTAGACCGCGAGCATCAGCCACTGGGTTAGATCGGAGCGGTTGAGGTCGAAGGATGCGAGTGATTAGGGGCGTCGCCATGCCGCCGACAATGCACAAACAAACGCACAAACAAACGCGACAGAACAGAAGCAGTCAGACGCACACGGTGAGTGGGACGGGCAGGCGCGCACGCGGGGCGCCGGCGCAGGCGGCCGGTCCCGGCGCGTCCCACGGCGTCCTCGGCGCGGCCAACGCAAACAGCCAGCGCGCCGCCGCCGGGCGCGCGCGCGCCACGCGGCTCGGATTAGTGTGCGGCGCACCGCGCGGCCACCCACCTCCGCCGGAGCCACGGTAGGCGAAACTCGCAGCTTTTCATGGCGCAAAGACCGGCCGCCGGAGATGGCCCGTGACGCGACCTCTGCTGACACGACCTGGGGTCAGGGGGGCGCAACTCCGCTCCGACGGCGCGCCTCACAGGATCCCCCCGCTTCCAGACAGCCCGCAGACGGGCTCAAAGGCGGCTCGTCCTGACCGACGCTTCTTCGAAGACAGCGATAACAGCTCCATCCACGCAGCCCCACCCCCCGTCCTGGTGAGGTGGGCGTGACCACTCTGACGTGGTCACACTGCCGGCGAGCGTTGTCGGTGACGTCAGCCGCTGCTACTGCCGCTGCCGCTCCGTCTGCCAGCGCCGGCCGCAGCCCAGGGAACGGCGCGCCTTAGCGAGCGCGGCCGCAATGCTGAGGCAGAGTCCGGCCCACGCCAACAGCGCCGGCAGACGGGGGTGCCGCCGCCGGCGTGCCGGAGGGCAGCCAGGGGCCGGGCGGCGCCCTGACGCCGCGGTCGGGCCCGTGCGTCACCGCCGCCGCCGCCGCCGGCCGTCGGCGCCCGCCGCCCCCGCCCGTTCGTCAATCGTCGGCCGCGTCGTCCCGGGCGTGCGGCGGCAAAAACGGTGCGGGCGCCGGCCACCTCGTCGCGCGGACAAACAGACGGCGGTGAGATCGTGTGTCGGCAGCCCTAGTGTACCCGGGAACGCCTCATGGGCGTACCTGGCCGGGCGTGCGCGGCGGCCGCGGCTGGAGCGGCCGGCGCGACACGGACGCGCCGTCAGCTGGGCTCTCCAGCAGCCACCGCCTGCCGGTCGGCCGCTGCGCCAGCCCTCCTCGACCGCCACCATCCATCCATCCCGCGCCGTCGCTCCGGAGCGCACCCCAGGAAATTGAAAGTTACGCGTAACCAAATAAGCGGCGTTTCGTCATGCGCCGGGTAGGAGCGCGTGCGCGAGACCGGCGCACCGCCAGGCCAGATTCCGGACCGAGAGACGGCGGCCGACCGGCGGCCAGCGCGGTAATCTGATCGGGCCAGGCGAGACGAGCCGGTGTCGGCGGCGCTTTCGCCGCCTGGCCGCGGCTGAATCGCCGGCCGCCCGGCACGGCACCGGACCGCAGGTCGACTCGGCCCAGCAGGCGACCTTTTGCACGTGCAGGCCCCGGCCGACGCTGTCGCCGTCGGAGAGGGCTACTGCGCGCGCGCGCGTCCCGGCACAGGTGACCTGGCTGGCGCCAGCGCGATAAAACATCTGCATAACACAGCGCGTCGATGAATGGGAATGACCGGGCTGAACGGCTTTCGATCACTGGATGCCACGCGAGACCGCGAACCGTCACCCGGAGCTCAGCCGTTTGGATTGCTACTCTCCAGCGGCAGGAGGAAGCATGACCCAACGCGAAAGCTCGTTCGTCTCACTGTATCCGGAGCCTGCAGCGCGGAGCACCAACTTGTTTTCAAGAAACGCCAATCGCTTTCAAGAAACGTGGCCACATCGCAAGCATGTAGAGACGTGGCGGTGGGACGGATGGCCAGAAGCCTCGATGATAAAATCGCGCCACCGCACAACCGCCCCGTCACCGTCTTATGTCTCCGCCACCAAGAACGCTGACATGCAATAAGAGGGACCCACACGGCAGGTCCCGCTGCAAGCGGACAACGACCTCGTGTCACCCGGACCCCACCAGAAGTCGGGACTCGCGTCCGCTGACCCGTAGCAGCGACATCGGGCCGAGACGGCTCCAGCCGCGCTGACTGCCGAGCGCACGGCCGCCCTCCAACGGCAGAGCGAGCGTCAGCTGCCGGGCGGCGCTCCGGCGGCGGAGCGGAGACCCGGCAGACCAGTCGGCGCCACGCCTCGGTCGTCCCGGTACAAAGCAGGCCGCCATCAGCTGAGAGACCGCTTCCGCCACCGCTGTCGCTGCGACGGCGCGGCGGCGGCAGCTGCGGGGCGACGTCGCTTTCTCCGCCGGCCGCCCGGTGACGCGTGTCGACGCCGGGCGCGGCGCACGCCGGCGGCAGCGCGCGCGCGGCGCCGGCCGGCGCAGCGTGCGCGTACGCGGCGGCGCTGTGCGTGCGTCGGCGACGCGCCGCCTGCGTGGCACGCATGCGCGGGACGGGCGGCGGGCCTCGGAGCGGCCACCTCACCAGGCCGACCGACTGGCTCGCGCCCACGCCCGACAGCGACACACGGGGCCCGATCGCCGCGCCGAACCGTCGCGAGGCGAGGTGAGCGCGTCTCTCGCACGCAACGGCCCGACCTTGGGCGGCGCCGCCCCATCGCCGCCATCTGGGCGCAGCGCGAGCGACCGCCGCCCGCGCCGTGACCACATTAGGACAGTCAGGCGGCCGGTGCGGTCAGCGGGCCAGCAGCACCCACGCCGGTGCCGGGAGGCGGCGGGCGCGGCTGCGGCGGCAGCGCCTCGGAGTGCCGTGCGTCCCAGCCGCCGCCGACCCGGCTGCGGTGGAGTCGGGACGCCGGCGGAGGCGCGGCCGGCCGCCGGACCTCACTCCCTCTTCAGAGATCTCCTGTCACGACCGCGATGACTCCGCGGAGCCGCGGCGCGAAGCGGGAGCGGAGGGCGATGCAGCCACGTCCGTACATAGCTGCTCTCTTCTCTACGACATCGCGCAACGTGGAGATCCGGACGAAATAGGAAATGGGGAAAGTTGGACAGATTGGAAAGCCAGTACAGGCGACACGCCTTATTGCGCCCCTGCCTGTCTATACCACTTCAGGCCACGAACGAACTGCCGCTGATGACAGCCGCACGCAGGCGACGGCGCTCGCAACATCGGCACAAAAACCGCCGCACAAAACAGACGATTCACCCGCTCAAAACAGGCCACTTCCTCGCCCATTCGCTGGACGGCTCCGCTGCCGTCTCCTCTCCTGCGGGCCGCATTCAGCGCCGGTCGGACCAGCCCCTCCTCCCCCGGCGTCAGCTGGCGACGCGTCTGACACAGAGAGAGCCTTGCCCGCGCCAGGCGTCCGGTCGTGGATATAAAGCGCACGCCTGCATGCTTAGCGTGCAGCTGATAAAAAATGACGCCACCGGTGCGGCAGCGAGCAGCCGCCTCCGCACAAGAGCCGCCGCGACGTAATGAATTAAATGATGCAGCGTAATGGACGCCGGCGAGCACGCAAACGCAGGTGGGATTCAACGACAGTGGTCATAAAGCATGACAACAGGGCACTTCAGCCGCTACGGCGTGGTGTAAAGGGGAACAAGAGCGAAGCAGCCACGAAAGAAGACACATGGAAAGGTCGGCGACCAGAAACGTCAATCAAGGATGCGGCCGACAAGACGACAGAAGGCGGCAACCGCCCCAGCTACATCCCACAATGGAGGGCAAAATCCAGACAATGCGCCCAATGTGCCGGCGGCAGCGCAAGAACAGAGCGTCCTTGGGTCGCCACTCCAGCCAGCGGCCGGCGCGCCTAGCCCTGCTCCAGAATTCGGGGCCGCACGCCTTTCGGGCGTCGCCTCTCAGGGTCGGCGCGGCGCCAGGGCCGCTGACCGGCGGTGTGGCCGCCGCTCTGTTGCGCCACTGCCGCCGGCAGCGCGGCTGCGGTCGACGGCGGCGCTGGCGGCCGGCGCGTCCAGCGGGGCCCTGACGCCGCGTCGGCGCCTCACCACCGCACGGGCCGGGCCGGGAGCCACAGCGGGGCAGACCGCCGCCGGTCGGCACCTGACCACCGCACGGGCCGGGCCGGGGGCCACAGCGGGGCAGACAGCCGCCGCGTCGGCACCTGACCACCGCACGGGCCGGGCCGGGGGCCACAGCGGGACAGACAGCCGCCGCGTCGGCACCTGACCACCGCACGGGCCGGGCCGGGGACCACAGCGGGACAGACAGCCGCCGCGTCGGGACCTGACCACCGCACGGGCCGGGCCGGGGACCACAGCGGGGCAGACCGCTGCCGGTCGGCACCTGACCACCGCACGGGCTGGGCCAGGAGCCACAGCGGGGCAGACCGCCGCTGGTCGGCACCTGACCACCGCACGGGCCGGGCCGGGGGCCAAAGCGGGGCAGACCGCCGCCGGTCGGCACCTGACCACCGCACGGGCCGCCGCCGCCGGCCACAGTGAGCCAGACCGTTGCCGGCTGGCCCGGGCATCGACCCGTACTCTCAGCGTTGTCTCCTGGTGGCCAGAAAAAGTCCGTAGGACTCCAATGAAGAGCCAATTGATTTGCCACAGTTTCATGTTTGCCAGCATTTTTGTGGCATGTCTATGCCCGCTTGCTTCGGTATCGCAACACGTTTTGCACATCAGGACTCGTGCACGACGCACGTATTCACTGGGATTTTTTAACGCAAGTGCACGGGCCAACCCACTCATTTTAAAGACACGAGTTTCGCAACTGTCTTCTTGTTTCCTGTAAGCGACCACGCAGCTATCGCAAACACAGAGAAAACATTCTGGGTGACCAAGTCGCAATTTGAGCTGATTTCGAACGGGCTCTAACTGGCCAACGACCAAGTTAACAACCAACAATGGGTCAGCCTATTTCATTGCCAACGAACTGGCACGTCGCTAGCAGCGTAGCGCTGGCCTTAACGGCGCACTATGTCCACTTTCCAACTCAGCTGTTGGCTAGTGCCTGGACTTGCGCTGTCCCTTTCATGGCCGTGGCCCGTGGAACCGAGGCAACGGCGCGTGACGGCCAATGGTGGCCGCCGGGCAGGCGACTACAGCAGCGGACTGACGCCTACGTCTTCCAGCCAGGCGTCCGACCGGCGGCGACAGCACCGCACCGACGCCGAAGCCGAGGCCGAAGCCGACGCCGGCGGCCGGCAGCCAGTCACCGCCGACAGGAGCGGCCGCCACCGCCGGCCGCGTCCGACGGCTGCCAAAAGTGACGCCGCCGCCGCGGACAAATCGCCGGTCGGCGCGGCAGCTGACGTCAGCGCCTGGATCGGGCCGGCGCGCCTGCCAGCCGCCCGATCAGCGTCCGAGCGCCGGCGCCGCCTCCTCAGCGGCGCCGGCCCGGCGGCGGACCCGCGCGACCCGCTCCTGGGTCGCCGCGGTCGAGGCGACGGCCCGGCCGAGCTGACCGGGCGGCCGGACGGGCACCGGTCGCGGC